GGCCTCACAGGACCTGGCCTCTGTCCTGCTTGGGCAAGTGTTAACAGCTCTTTAGCTTTACTGACACATGCCCGGAGGCACCCCACTCTGCCAGCAAACCTCCTGCCTGAAGGTGCTCAGCTCTCTTGCCCTGTGGATTGGCAAGCCTTCTGTGGCTGTCTCATGCTGTCTCCAGTGTTAACAGCTCTCTCTGGCTCCTGGGTCTAGGAGGTTCTCAGCGCAGGGACCCTGGGTCCAAAGGATGTGCTCCGCTCCAGGCTCTTCTTGATGGTAGTGAGGATCCCCCTCAACCTGTGTGGGATTGGCCCTTACAAGCCTAGCAGGATGGCAAAACTGACCAACCCCCTTAGTAGACACAGTCACCTAATTTGCATAGTAAACTGACCAGTCCCTGCAAGGTGTAAAAATAGACCAATCACAGGATAGGCTGTGGCCCATCCAATTATTTTGGGCAGAATTATAAACCCAATGCCAGAAAGACCACATATAAGAGAAACCCATTGCACTGTACCTCCCAAAATACATGCCCTTTATAGCCAGAAGTCCATTTTTCAAAAGAAGCCAAAGATGCCAGTTATTATGCAAAATTTTCCAAATTTTAAATGCTGGCTCAAAATTTTTTAATTTTTAAAAATATTCTGGGCAGACCAACAAAACAAACCTGTAGTCCCCAGCTGTGATTTCTGCTCTAAAGGTCTGTGTGGCACTTGTGGGTCAGAATTTCTGTGTTCCTCTTGAAAAGGAATAGGAAGTGGGCATGGAAGCCAGGTTGCCTGGGTTCCCATCTTGCCCTGCCTCTCCCTAGCTGTCTGATTTGGAACAGGGCCTCCATGTGCTTTGCTGTCCTGAGGCATAGCAGCGTCTTTTTTTTAATCTTGCTTCCTTATTTTTTTATTGTACTTTAGGTGAAGGTTTACGGAACCCACTAGTTTCTCATTGAACAATTAATACACATACAGTTTTGTGACACTGGTTGCCAACCCCACGACGTAACACTCTCCCTTCTCAACCTTGGGTTCCCTGTTACCAGCTTTCCTGTCTCCTCCTGCCTTCTCGTCCTTGCCCCTGGGCTGGTGGGCCCCTTTAGTCTCGTTTTGTTTTATGGGTCTGTCTAATCTTTGGCTGAACGGTGAACCTCGGAAGTGACTCCATTACTGAGCTAAAAGGGTGTCCGGGGGCCATACTCTCGGGGTTCCTCTGGTCTCTGCCAGACCAGTAAGTCTGGTCTTTTTTTGTGAGTTAGAATTTTGTTCTCCATGTTTCTCCAGCTCTGTCCGGGACCCTCTGTTGCGATCCCTGTCAGAGCAGTGGGTGGTGGGAGCCGGGCACCGTGTGGCTGTGCTGGACGAAGTCTGGTGGAGGTGTAGCAGGACCTTTTTCCTGAGGGAAATGGCTCAGCAGCACGCCAGGTGCACGGTAAGTGCTGGAAGCATAACCATCCTCGTTGCTGTCATTCCCACAGTGGAGCGGAGGCGGAGGGACAAGATCAACAACTGGATCGTCCAGCTTTCAAAAATCATTCCAGATTGTAATGCAGACAACAGCAAGACAGGAGCGGTGAGTGCCCCGGCCCTCAGGTGCTGTGGTAGGCCCAGCTCCCCACCCGCTCCCAAAGACAGGAGCGGTGAGTGCCCCGGCCCTCAGGTGCTGTGGTAGGCCCAGCTCCCCACCCGCTCCCAAAGACAGGAGCGGTGAGTGCCCCGGCCCTCAGGTGCTGTGGTAGGCCCAGCTCCCCACCCGCTCCCCAAGACCTACCGCCTTGCCCACCAGCCACCAGGCGCAGGCGTTGTCCTGGCTGGGGGGGTAGGCAGAGGCTGCTGGTGAGTGCTCCCTCTACTGCTCTGTCCCACCCCCCAGAGTAAAGGAGGGATCCTGTCGAAGGCCTGCGACTACATCCGGGAGCTACGCCAGACCAACCAGCGCATGCAGGAGACCTTCAAGGAGGCTGAGCGGCTGCAGGTGGAGAACGAGCTCTTGAGGCAACAGGTGAGTGCCAGGACCTGGAGCTGGGGGGGACCCAGGGGCCCCCAAGACGCCAAGAGCCAGCCCCTCCCGTGCGCCCTCTTGCGTGTCTGCCAGATAGAGGAGCTGAAGAACGAGAACGCCCTGCTTCGAGCCCAGCTACAGCAGCACAACCTGGAGATGGTGGGCGAGAGCACCCGGCAGTGACGTCCACCCGCCGTGCGTGCAGACAGAGCCTCCGCAGGGCCCTCTGCTGCCCCTTCCCCAGCCCTTAGCACAGAGAGGGACACGTGCCCCTCCCCCAGCTGCGTTTTTTTATAGTAGATTTTTAACAAAAACGGGGAGAAATGATGCATTTCTGTGGATACAACACCCATCGCCCACCTCAACTTGGAAACGACATCCCCCCATCTGTCTGTCTGTCTCTTCTCTCTCAGCCCCCACTAAGCCCTGGCACATCTGTCCTGCCTGGAGGCAAGAGGGAGGGGACAGAGGCCCTGCCGTATCCCGCTGCCTCCTTGATCTCTAGAGGTGCTGAGACAAGGTGCTCATGGGAAGGAGGGGGCCTTCAGGGGGTCGTCCCCAGGGCCTGGACCTAAGTGGGGAGGCCACGTCCCACCCCCCCCTCTTGTTTCTGGATCCCTGCTCCCCTTTGGGTGTGTGTGTGTTTTAATTTTCTTTATGGAAAAAATGGACAAAAAAAAAAAAAAGAGAGGTATTTAACTGCAATAAACTGGCCCCATGTGGCCCCCGCCTTGTCTGTGCGTCTGTCCATCTTGGGTGGGCGGGCTGGGGTCTGCAGAACTCCGTGCGAGCGGGGGCTCTTGCGTTCACAACGGCCTGCCAGTCCCTGCGCCCTGCACCGCCCAGACCCAGCCTGTTGGTTGGTTGGAGGAATGAAGGAATGCATGTCCTCTTTGAGGCCCCAGGTGTGCGTACGTGGGGGCCGGGGTCAAGGACAAGTCCCATGATGTGGGGAGAGAGGCTGGGGTCTCCCATGTCAGCAGTTCCTAAAACCAGGACTGGCTCGCGGCCATCCCTTCTAGGCTGTAGCCCTCCCCCCTGCGCCAGCCAATGGTGGGGCCTGGCCTTGAGCCCCTCACCCCTAGGGAGGGCCAAGGGCCAAGAAGCCAGGCTTGGCCCGTCAGCCTGTCGCCTGGGGCTGTGGCTCTGGCGCCTGTGCCGTGACCCCTGCCCCTGACTGATGATGAAACGTGGCCTGAGCGGAGATGCAGTGACGCCTGGCAGGGCTGGGGGATGCTGCTGTGTCTCCTTGTGGGCATTGTCTGGACCCTGCCTCACTCTGCTGCCCCCGTTCAGTTCCACCCGCTCCCAGGATCGAGGACTGGGACTTCTGTGAGCTCTCCACTCCTCCTTCTCCCCAGATGGCCTCTTTGCTCTCCTGCTCCTGGCCTTCCATGTTGGAGGCCATCTTTGAGAGGGTCTGCTCGCAGGAGAGAGGAGCCTGCCGTGGAGTGAGAGGGGAGGCAGATGGCAGGAAGCAGTCCTCAGCAGGGGCCCTTCCATTTTTGTGGTTTTGGGTAGACCAGGAAGAAGCGTTCATTCCTGGACAGCTTTGGTGGCAAACCCGTTGCCATCCAGTCGATTCTCATAGCCACCCTATAGGACAGAGTGGAACTGTCCTGTAGTGTCTCCACGGAGTGGCTGGCGGATTCGAAGCCAACCTTTATGGTTAGCAGCCAGCCAGGCCCTGGTAATAGGGTTGAGGCAGAGAGGCAAGATGGGGGAGTGGGTAAGCACCCAGGCTCTGGGCCACAGTCACAGCGAGGTGGCCTGGGCAGTGGAGGACTGAAGGCACCGCAGCTAGGCCGCCTCAGGTCATCCTCATCCAGTGGTGTGAAGTGTGCAGATCTTTGTTGTGTGAATACTCCTGCCACGGGGGATTTCAGGGCCCCAGCGTGATGCCCTGAATGCAGAGCTGGGATGTGCACAGTCTGCTTTGGGGAGCCGGCTCCAGCACACGTGCACCCTGCGGTGTCTGCCGGCAGTAAAACCTGGGGATTGACAGCAGCTGCCTCGGAGCCAGCTGCCCAGGCTACTCCCCAGCTCTGCCTCTGGCTGGGCTAGCTGGGCCACTGCCTCTCTCTGCCTTCAGTTCCTCTTCGGCAAAGTGGAGACAATGTCTCAGAGGGTGGTGGGACAGGGAGGCTCCTGAGAGGAGTCAGGGCTGGCTGGCTGAGAAGGCAGCCAGAACCCCTGAATGCAGGGCAGGGCTCAGGATGGCGTGGGCAGCTGGGAGCTGCTTGTAGAGAACAGGGCGCCCTGCTGAGTCAACCCCGAAGTCAGTACACATGCTCAGGACAATGCCTGGCATGTACGATACAGTCATCAGATGTTAGCTATTACTGTTACTGCTATCTTTTATGGTCAGAAGTTCCTGCATACTTTTCCAGATGCCAGGACCACTTTTATGATTTTGACACTTAGAAAACACTGGGGAGTTTTGGGAGCTCACACTGGCACAGACCCCCTGCAGCTTGCTATCCCGGGGTTCCTCCCAGAATCTACGCATGTGTGAAGAGAACCCAAAGCAGCGGGAAGCTCCCCCAAACCACGCCAGGTGCTCCTGAGGCGCCCAGAAAGTGGTAGTCATCTTACACATGGTTGTGGGCATCCGGGGAATGGTGGGAATGAGGGGGTATGTTGCTTCCGCTCACCAAGCTGTTCAACTTCTGGGAAAAAAGGTGGACATTTTTCTGAGGTTGACAGGGTGACATCATGTTGGAGAAAGGGTCCCCAGGTGGCTGGCTGGAGGCACATGTCTGTGGCCCCATCTGCCCCACCCCCAAGACACACCTCCGCTGGCTGAGGGTGACACAACCCTGTTCCCTGTCACCTGTTCCCGCTTATCTCTCACCTCCTCGGCGCCACCACCTTCTTGGAAATGAGGCAGGGCAAAGGGGAGGGGGCTCGACACCCCCACCCCTCCAGCAGGCCCCATAAAAGTGACTGTAACTGGACCCCAGACACCACAGCAAGTCCTAGACTCAACGGCAGGACAGCCAGACGGACGTGCAATGGCAATGAACGTTCAGATCCAGGCTGCCTGCCTCCTGCTCCTCCTCCTCACCAGCCTGACCAGTGGCTCGGTTCTCCCCCACCAGGTGAGAACCCACAGGGCATGGGTCTTAGCAGGGTAGCAGGGGCTGGAGACCCAGACCCTTGGGAAGGGGTCCTGAGGACTGCCGCGGACACCCAAGCACTTGGCAGAGCCCAGGACAGAGAAAGGGGGACTGGGAGCTGCTTAAAGAACAGGGCTGGGGTACTGAGCGGTAGGGACTGGGGGCCCCTAAACTAATTAATCCCACAGATCTTTGAGCGCCTACACTGTGCCAAGTGCTGTTCAAGATGCTGGGGATAAAGCAGTGAACAAAAGAGATTCGAGACAAGACTTCGTCGCTGTTATGGCGCTTACATGCTAGTGAGGGAATTAGTCAATAAACAAAACATAAGATACGTGTGTTTGTTGTTACATGCTGTCGAGTCCATCCCAACTCACAGCGACCCTATAGAGCAGAGCAGAGCTGCCCCATAGGGTTTCCAAGGAGTGGCTGGTGGATTTGAACTGCTGACCTTTTTGGTTAGCAGCTGTAGCTCTTAACCATGGTGCCACCAGGGCTCCAACAAAAGAGGGTGGTAGAGTGACCATAGCGGGGGTGAAGGGGTACTTTAGGTGGAGTCAAACCACGCTGCTTTGTGAGAAAGTGACACTGAAGCTGTAGCTTGGATGTTCCAGGCAAAGGGGACACTATGCAAAGGCTCCAAGTGAGGGCAACACAGGGCATACCCAAGGATCAGGCAGTTTGATATGTGAAGGAGATGTACTTGGAGATGAGGTCAAGGGATGGGCGGGGGTCAGATCACGCACAATCTAGCAGGCAGCTGTGCAAGCCCGGGTTTCTCCTCTGAGGGCAAGGGCTCTAAGACAGCGAGAGACATGAGCTGACTGACAAAGTCAAAGTTACTATGCTGTGTGGAGAATGGATTGTCGGGGGGGTAGACGCGGGGACACTTGTTAGCAGGCTGTTGCTGGCATCCAGGCAAGAGAGGAGGATGTCCTGAAGACCGGTGGCAACTGTGGACAAAGAAAGGGACAGATCTGGGATGTGTTTGGGAAGGAGAACTGCCTGTGGGAGGTGAGACAAGCAAGAAAGCAAGGCCAGTCCTAGGATTCCAGCTGAGCGGTGGGATACCATCTACTGGGCACGGGCGACTCTTGAGTTCTGCCAGGCTCACTTCCATCTTCAATACCCTCTTCTTTCACAGACAAGGCAGCTTGCAGACCCCCAGGCCCGGGACTCAGCTGAAGCCAAGGCCAGCTTGATGGTGAGACCACTTGAGACTGCCTTCTGAGCCACCCCACCCTTCCCTTCCCTGTCTGTGCCTACCTCACTGACCCTGCCCGTGTTCCTTCCCACAGCCTGCGATCCAGAAGCGAAGGAGCCGAGACACCCACTTCCCCATCTGCGTGTTCTGCTGTGGCTGCTGTCATAAATCAAATTGTGGGATGTGTTGCAAGGCGTAGAGCCCCCCTGCCCTGCCCCCCAGTCCTCCCCACTTCTTTATTTATTCCTGCCGCACCCCCACCCCCAACACTAGGTGAATGGTCAGAATAAAACAGCTGATTATTTTCCAAACTGGTGTGTCTGTTGCCCTTTTTTCCTGCCAAGGGTCTATGCCAGAGGCTTGTTCCGTCCTGACCCCCCAAGGGCCAGTACGTGGTGGGGTGTGTTGGGGGTTGCAGGAAGCTTAGTGAAACAAATTTGTTTTCTCTTCTTTCTCCCCTTCGAAAGTCTTAGAATTCACCTTGCAACAGCAGGGGGTGAAAGTGAAAGTTTCCTTTCCCTGAAGTCTTATTAAAACAGAGGTAACAAACTCAAATGCCTAGCAAGAAGGTTCAAAGTGAGATCCAGGAACTCCTTCTGGGGTCCACAGAGTGGAAACTACTAAGACGCTACTTGCTTTTTTCACTCTCATTCACTATCACGAGCGTACAGTGGAGTTTTCTAGAGGCAACATGACAAGTGATATCATCACTGATGGCCAACCGATTGTGTGCTTGTGTAGCTTGTGCTTTCAAACTTTCCCAGTTTCAATTTCTAATATGTTAAACAACTATAGGTATAACCCGCTTAAATAAAAGATTTTTGGGGTCCTCAATAATTTTTAAGAGTGTAAAGGGGTCCTGTAGACCCAAAACTTTGAGAACCGCAGGACTTCAGGGACCAGACAGGTACAGTAAATGAGTGAGGCTTGCTGGCTTTGTTAAATAGGGGCATCTGAAGTTACATTCTCTCAACAAGGACCCACTTTGCACATGAAATGCATAAGAATATTCTTCACCTCCACAGGGAATTAAGTTCTCCCGTTCTTGAAAACTGTACACCTCTCTATCTGATCTTCCCACTTTTGAGAAAAACAGAGCTGCAGGAAGCATTTCATTTTCTTCTTAGGGCATAAGAAAACAACACTAGTATGATAATAAAGGGCATCAGCCATTTGGCCTCAATGTTGGGTATTGAGAAGGAGGGATGTGGTCTGTGGTCCCATCTGAGGGAGGTTCCAGGAAATGGCTGCTATGTCCAAAGGCACACCCAAATTGGCTAGAGCTTCTGATTTTTCAAGTGAATGGTAATCCTTATTTTGATGTGAAATTTCCTAATTTTTAAAATATATTGGCAAGAGATTAAAGGCATTTGTTTTCTAAATTAACACTCTGTAGGTCACAATAAACCCAGCTGGGAGCCCACTCAGTCTCATACACACAATGGGGAGCCCGGTCAGTCTCATACACACCTGGGAGCCCAATCAGTCTTGCACACCAGCGACTTTGTCCTCTGCCTCAGAAGCTATGAGAGACTTGTCCTCTGAGGCACTGGCAGGAGAGGTCTCCTGAATGGAGAGCTCCGCCTCCTATTAGTTTCCCGATCTTCCATGTGGCTTCTCCCCACTCTGAAACTCTGCCCCCTGATCTGTGAAAGGAGAGAGGAGTGTCTCTAGAGTAGTTAGCTCATCTGGCTGTTGAGCTACTCAGACAAGGGGATGAGTGTGAAATTGCTCTGGAAATCATCAAATGCCTCATGCATATAAAAGATTAGCACAGCTAGTCCCCGACTTACAATGGGGTTCCATTCCCACAACTCCATGTTAAGTTAGTTCTGACATAAGTGGAGTGTTTCTTTTTTTTAAGTTTTTATAGCTGCTACACGGCAGTGTTTTGAACAGTAAATCATAACATTGGACATCTGTGAGTGAACATCTGAGAATGGTGACATCAGCAAATTATACGCTGCAACACTGATTGTAGTACATATTACTAACAATAAGGTGTACTAAAAAGAAAAAAAGAGGCTGAAGTAAGTACAGTTCATGGTAACTCAAATACATCGTAAGATGGGGGCTACCGGTGTTAAGAGGGGAGGGTGGTAAATACCTAAGAGGTGGGAAATTTCAAATTGCTAGTTGCGTTTAATGACACCGGTGTGCTTCTCACATCTTAGCAAGCAGTTTCTCCAAGGTGGTCCTAGAGACGGGAGACCGTGTGAAGCAGAGGTTCTCAAACTTTAGTGGGCATCAGAATCTCCCGGCAGGCTTGTTAAAATACAGATTTCTGGGTCCTACCACTAGTAATCCCAATTCAGTAGGTGCAGGCTGGGGCCAAGAACTTGTATTTTTAACGAGTTCTCACATGATACGGATGCTGCTGGTCCAGGGGCCACACTTTGAGGACCACTGGTGTGAAGCTACGAGCTATGGCTGAGGGAAGAAGTGCCTCTTGGTTGGCTCAAGCCCTGGATGCCACCCAGGTGAGTGTTAAGCGGTGGACCTGAGGGTTTGATGTTGGAGATGAGTTTGGCTTGGTCTAAGCAACATCATGATAAACGGAGAAAAGATTGAAGTTGCCAAGGATTTCATTTTACTTGGATCCACAATCAACACCCGTGGAAGCAGCAGTCAAGAAATCAAAAGATGTAATGCACTGGGCAAATGTGCTGCAAAAGACCTCTTTAAAGTGTTGAAAAGCAAAGATGTCACCCTGAAGACTAAGGTGCGCCTGACCCAAGCCATGGTGTTTTCAGTCACCTCATATGCATGCGAAAGCTGGACGATGAATAAGGAAAACCAAAGTTGAATTGAGGCCTTTGAATTGCGGTATTGGTGAAGAATATTGCATACACCACGGATTGCCAAAAGAACAAACAAATCTGTCTTGGAAGAAGTACAACCAGAATGCTCCTTGGAAGCAAGGATGGCAAGACTACGTCTCACATACTTCGGACATTTTATCAGGAGGGATCAGTCCCTGGAGAAGGACATCATGCTTGGTGGAGGGTCAGCAAAAAAGAGGAAGACCCTCAATGAGATGGACTGACACAGTGGCTGCAACAGTGGGCTCAAACATAACAATGACTGTGAGGATGGCGCAGGACAAGGCAGTGTTTCTTTTTGTTGTACGCAGGGTCGCTATGAGTCGGAACCAACTTGACGGCACCTAATAACAACAGCACTTTAGGACATTTCACATAAAAATCGGGATTCCTGCCTTCTGTGGAAAGATCAGGTGATCTGGCAACATGGGCAGCTGGACCTAGGGGTGGCTGACCCCTTTAGACAGAGCACATGCTCTCCCGTTCCCCAGAGCCCCTCACCCAGCCCCACACTCACTCCACTGGCCTCACTCCTGTGGTCTGGAGACCGGGAATTTCCGATTTCAGCGATGGCTGCCAACGCTGATCTTGGTGGGATGCACGTGCGTGTACGCTGCGGCCCAGGAGCAGCCTCAGGTCACACCCAGAGAGGAGACGGAGTCCCGAACTGCACAGGCACACCACCCCAAGGGTTGGTGTTGACTCTGAGGCCGTGGCACCCAGGATCTCGGTGTCCTCGCCCAAAGCTCAGGCACCAGGCCCCTCTCTTCCCCAGGACCCAAGTGTTCAAGCGCCACCCCGCTCTCAATAGGCCTTTGTCCCTAACTGGGAAAGGCACGGGCAGAGGCTGACATCATGAAGCCTGAGGAAGGGGTGGGACTCCCCTCCCTCTCCCAGCTTCCCTGCTCCTGACTCCCTGGTCTGAGGGATTTCCCCACCTCTCACTCCTGGGTTCTCCCTTGGGAGAAAGGACCCTCTCTCCCTCTCCACCGCTCTGGCATGGAGGACGACAGAGGACACACAATGGGACTGAACAGCACGTGGTCAAGTCACTACCGCACTTAACCACACTGACCCCAGTTTCCCCCTCCGTACGCCCTCCTGCAATGGGTGGGGCTGAGGCAGCAGTAGGCTTACTATGGAATTTGTACATGGAGGGTCCTCACAGCCCCAAAAGTCACGGCAGCCCTTGTCGAGCACCTTCTGTGCACCAGGCAGTCTTCTAGGGGACACAATGGTGAACAAGACAGACAGACAAACAGAAAGTCTGCCCTCTGGAGCTCTGTGCTAGTGGGGAAGCTAGCGCATGATTCGGCACACAGAGCGTGCAAACAGACAAACGGGCTGAGCGTTGTGGAGAGAAAAGACAGCATTTAAGTGGAGGGGCTTGGCTTGGTGAGGGAGTCAGGAACAGCTTCCAGAGCAGGAGGTCTGAGCTGAGGAGCCTGAAAGAGGAGCGGCTGCGGTCTGCGGCAGAGTGGGGAGTGGGGTAGGGTGGGGAGAGCTTTCCAGGGGGAAGAGCAACATGCGCAAAGGCCTTCAGTCAGTAGGTGCCACAGAGTACCTGAGGAGCACATTCATCCACCCTCTCTACATCGATTACGCTTAGCTCTGTGCCCAGAGCTGTTCTACAAGCCGGGATAGATTGAGAATAAAAGCTGCTGCCCTCACGGAGGGTGTGTTCTGAGGAGAAAAAACAAAAACAAGGAAGCCAAGGCCGTTGCCGTCAAGTCGATTCCGACTCCTAGCGACCCTGTAGGACAGAGGAGAACTGCCCCACTGGGTTCCCAAGGAGCGGCTGGTGGATTCCAACTGCCGACCTTTTGGTTAGCAGCCGAGCTCTTCACCACTGCACCACCAGGGGTCCATGTCCGGAGGAGAGGAGACAATTAATACATAACACATCACTTCAGATGGCAGTAAGAACCTGGGAGAAAATAGACCAGGCTGAGTGGACCCAGAGGAACTGAGGGAAAATGATTGTAGACAGAGTGGAGGTGACACTGAGTCCGAGTGTGGGAAGGTCCTGTCTCCTCCTCCTGCCCACACCGGCCTCTGCTGGCTTCTCAGGACCGGGATGACACCCAGCATTGCCACCAAGATTCCTCAGCAGCGGAGGACAAAGCCTTCTGTCCTCAACCTGGAATTTCTAGAGGGATTAGAATCCTCTCCCAGGGACCCAGAATCAGGGTGCATGGTGATGGAGGAGGGGGGAGTGAGTGAGGCAGCCATCCCCCTCCTCAATCCTCTCCAGGAAGGAGCTAGGAGAACCCAGGCGTCAGGCTGCCCAGTCCGAGCCCCGTGGTGACAAGGGCCCCTTTGTGCCCCCCTCCCCCAGGGGCAGGGAGGAGCTGGGCCCTGGAGGCAGGCGGCCCCT